GCAGCATCCCTCTCCCTACAACATAGGATCATGGAAGAATTTTTAAACGTTACCAGGAAGCAAAAGAAATATTTAGCAGTGCTGGCAAAAGAGCATTTTGTGTTTTATAAAAAACAGTAGTGTCCAGTACTGTCCCAGCAGCACAGTCCTGAAAGGCGACAAGGAACAGCTGAAAAAGTGACGATCTTTTTTGTATTAAGGGGTATGGCCATTGTGTGGTGCTTCTCTCACTGATAGCTACAGATGATATCCAACTACAGGCTGATGCTCTAGATACCCCTTAAAAAGGCTGAGTGGAGGCAGGTGGAAGAGATTTTTTTCTCATGTTCCTCACCATAAAGGATCTCCAAGATTTCTATCAAAATTCTTTCTTAAACATAACATTTTGTTATATCTTCAGTGTAAACTAATTATATCTTTCAGTGCTGTTTTCAGTTATTATTCATCAGTCTAAATTACCTTTTATTATCCCTGCAAATCATGGGAATATTAGCTAGTGCTGTAGTGCACTACATCATATACTAGTACCAAACAGCTGCAAGACAGACATACAGACATGTACGTATGAAGGTACATACATACTATATATTAAGCAGTTGAGTTTATTCTTGCTTTTGTATTAGCTATTAACTTTCAATCTGGCTTGGGCCTTTTCAGCCCTGATTGCTTGTGTATCTCTGCATGGGTAGGAGAAAAAGAGAAATATAAACCAAAATTCAAGCAGAGATGTGGTGTCATGTAAAACCTCTTCTTTTGTTACCCTTGGATCAAAAGTCACCCTTGTAAATGATTTACTGCATCTTTGCAAACCTAAGCAAACAGTTTTTAGCTTGTTTTCCTGGGTGCATTTCAGAAAACCACATCTCTTTTTCCCAACTCTTCCTCTGTGGAGCCTCTATTAATATCAAGAACCTAAGGATTTATTTCACCTGAAGGAGAGAACTGCCCTGAGGGAAGCGTTGTGCACCTGGATAATTAGGGATAAGTGCTGTGTGGCACTGGAGGGAATGCTATCAGTCTAAGGCAGATCATTGTTTCTGTAGCAAACAGATATTAAATGAGAAAATGTCCAAGAAGTACACGCAAGTTTTAATCCCTTGCATGCATTTTATGATTTGCATTATATAGGGTTGACACAGATAAAAGCATTTTCCAAAGATCTGCATGTTGACAATGTAAACTATACTTAAAAGGTATGTGTTTTATTTTATTAGCATGGATTTCTATTGATTTTGCAATTCTGGTGTACAAGGACTTTAAAGTTTACTTCTAGAAACACAAAGTTTTTTTGTCTCACCTATCAAACAGACCTCACCAATCTGCAGTTTGGATTTACAGACTAATCTAATCCTACAGTTCGAGAATGCAGGACAAATGCTATTGTAATTTTCATATGTATAAATCTCTGCAAATCAGGTTAATAAAAATCAGTGAGGCCCAGCTAATACATTTTGCTGTGATTTCATAATTTAGTTTTACACTTGAGAGAATACACCTCATCTTGGGCTAGTTCTTTTTAGATAAAACCAGCAGACAGATGTAAGCTGCAGGTTAGCCACTCCTGCATAGCTGCAATGTTTGACATTCACTAGGGTAACACCCAGCTCATTGTGCTGCTCTTCCTTTTGGACTCACTTTGGAGTCATAACCTCATCTGTGTCTGTATCCAGTCCAAAGAAATGCCTGTGGTTTGCTAAATGAAGCAAGTCAATGATGGGAAGCACATATTCCTAAGCAGTTTTCAAATCAACAGTGAGAACTATTCTGGGGATAGTGTGGTCTCACCTTAGCTGCCTCAAATCTCTGCTGACTGCCAAAACTGATGGCTTCATTTGGCTTCCCCGCAGAAACTGCCTGGGGAGAGAAAGGAGGACCAAACACATGGGAATTACAAAATATCAATTCTCAAGGAATACTCTAATTTTCTCTTGGTTGGTGTCAAAGCTTATGACTTCTATCTATGAAAAGGAAATCCCCATTCAGCAGTGGGATGGAGTCCTGCATGAAATCTTCAGACCACACCTAAAAGAGAACATGTTTCTAACATGTATGAAAATATAGGTATCCACAGATATGGCAAGAAACCTTTTTTTTCAATAGTAAGGACTGGAATTACTGCTTTTTAGAGCAAGGATGTTATCAAACTATTCCTATCAACAGACAGGATTTCCGTAACTGAAAATTCCAATTTCCATTTACTGAACACTTTGTGAACAAAAACAGTAGAAGAAGAAAATGAAACATCTGTCTTTGTTACAATGGGTGTGTTAAAACAGGGTAGGACTGAATGCACCAAATAATAATTAAAAAGAAAGTAAATCCTGATGATTTTGATTTTGGGAGGAAGACAACAGAACAAAAATTTGGGATGAGTCTTTGTTAACTACAAGAAGAGGAGGAAAGTTTTCATACTTAATTCAGACCTCTTTTAAACTACTCTAGATAAAAATCCTGTTACACAAGAGATTTTTTACTTTATTTTGTAAATTTGGAGAATGACTCATAAACTTGCAGTCATACTATTACTCAAGTTATATTAATAAAACATGTATGCTTGGCAAAAATTCCCTCCGATCTTGCCAGAATTTTCAACACCTTTTTATTCAGAAGCATTTGACGTCAACTGGTGCCCTTTGGAGATGAGGTATGGTGAGGAAAATGGGTCTGTGATTCTGGATTCCAATTTTAGACTCCTAATACCTTGAATTACATGGAAACTTATCCATGATGCTTATCTATAAATGACTATTAAAAGCACACAAGCTCTTTTTTGAATACTTGTTCATATTACACATAGCCAGAGTAAAGAACCTGTGTGTCCTGCTCTTTCTCCACTCAGCATTCATTGAACAAACTGATAGTTGGATAATTACTAGCAAGTGCTTCAATCAAATACCCAAATCTTTACCCAAATGAGCAAAGTGTTTGGGTGGTTAGGCCTGCAGCACTTCAAAGGCTGACTCAGGCACCCATCAGCTGACATCACTTCTGTCAGAGGAAGAAGGACCTGCTTTTTCATCCCCAGGTAGATGTGGGCTACCTACATCCTTTACATATAAAAGTAATCTCAACTCAGTAAGAGTAAATTTATGCAGAAATTACCCATAAACAATGGTTTCTTGAAGCAGTGGCAAACCAGGAGAGCTTTCTAATAGAAACAACAGTGCCAACCCCTTTATCCTAAAGCAAGATTTCCTTGCAAAGCTGGATGGAGCCCAGTCAGTTCCCAAAACACTGCAGTGTCTGCAGGAACTGCGGCAAGTGTCTGGGCAGCTCTCCTCATTCCTGCAGCTATAAACCTAACCCACTAGGAGATCTTAGATCTGATGATGTGCTTCTGGGTCAGGAGAACCCTGAATGCCCAGCATGATACAGACTGACATCACTGAGGGTTTCATTTATTACTGCCTCGCTACTGTGGAGCTGCACTATTTCAATTACTGTCATTTCCAGTTGTTTGTCATCAAGCACAAAGCAGTGAGAGGGGTGAAGCTCGCTGAAGGCTCCCTTGAGCACTGTGCCAGCAGGGAGGGAGGGTCTGGTGCCTGCAGCCGAGGAATGCAGCACAGTCTGTTAGACCTGTCAGAGTGACCCCAGTAAAAGAGCACACACAGGAGCCCTGTGTAAAAGCCCTGCATTAAACATGGCCCTTGCCTCCACCTCCTCTGGAGCTCCTTGCCTTGATGCACATCCTCGTAAGATAGTCCCCTGCAACTGCTTTGTCATGGCCAGATGCAATGCAGAGCTCAGGTAAAAGTTGGGTACTTGAAATTTTATGCAGGTGACCTGCCAAGCGGAATGGAAAACTCATAGGTGTCACAGGCTGAAATACTACAGAGACCAGCCATAAATCTGCATGAAGCTAATCAGAAAGGATGGGCAGGGGCAGCTTTATGCAGACGGTATGTCTGAACCATCCTCTCTCTGTGCAGATTAAAGCCATTCCCCAAGGCCTTGAGGGGTTCACTCTCGCCCAGTTGTCTCCTTCATTATGACAGGAAAAGGCATAGGCATTAACTGGGTTCAGGTGGCTTAGTCCTAATACCTCTTCCCCAAAGAATTAGGGAGCGGGAGATGAGCACTCCCTAAAGACTGGGGCACTTTTCTTTCCTCCTGCTGGCAGACAGGGGCTCCTCATAGGTGCATGTGTTCAGGAACTGCTGCTGTTCTTACCTGTTCGGAGTAGTACAACTCATCCAGCAGATATCTAGCATGAAGCTGGGGTCCTTTGGCACAGTACACTCCAGATACCTTCTTCTTTTGCTTCTTGGGCAAAACAAAGTTGGTGAGCTGTGCCCATTCCTGCACATAAGCTCTTGTGTTTTCCATTTCATAGCCTGAGCTACAGCAAATCCTCTAAATGTGAGTGCTAAACACCACACCAATCCACAGGATATGAGACTATCTTCAAAACCAGGGGTGTTCGTGTGTCAGGAATGAGTTCAGGCCCAAGTTTTAAGGCTGATGGAGGAGCCAGCATGCCAAGGCTGCAAGGAGGCTGGTCGAATAGCCTGGGATGAGAAGACTGGAGAGGGAGGCTGGTGAAGGAGCCAGGATGCCAAGGCTGGACAGAGGCTGGTAAAGGAGCCAGGATGCCAAGGCTGGCGGGGAGGCTGATGGAATAGCCAGGATGCCAAGGCTGGATCAGGGCTGGTGCAGGACTTGGGTGTTGCAGCAGTCCCAAGCACCCACTGCCTGGCTCCATCCAGGTGGAGAAAGTCGTGATGGGCAGGACCCACGGTGGGGTCTGCCCTGGAGTCTGGAGACAGCCTAGGGTCGGCTGTCCACACCCAAACACTTTCCCAAGGGGACTGACTTTCACGAGAAGGAAAATGTCTATGCGCTTTTCGTCCCCCCTCATTTTAAGGAAAGCCACTCTTTTTTCAGCTGAGCGTCGTCCTGCCAGGCACTCGACATTTCCCGCCGCATCCCGGCCCCGTCGCCCCCCCTCCCCGGTTCCCCCATCCCGGCTCGGCGCCCGCAGGAAGGGGAGGGACCGAGCGCCTTTCCAGCCGCCCGTGGAGCCGGGAGCTACCCGCCGCCCCTGCTTCTCTTCCCCGGGATCGGCGGCAGAAGCCCCGCCAGCAATGTCGGAGCGCGGGACGGGGCAGCAGCCACTGCCCGGGGCGGTGAGTCGGGACTGGCAGGGACGTGAGGGAGTTGAGGACGTGCGTGCGAGGAGGGCGGCGATGCCGCTCGGCGCTGCCCCGGGCGCCCCGCGGCCCTGGCGGTGGGAGCGGCTCCGCGCTGGGCGCCGCCCTGGGGCGCGTCCCGGGCCGTGCCGGGCAGTGCGGGCAGGGGAGGGTGGCGAGGAGCAGCAGCGGCAGCGCCATGGCTTTCGCCCGGTGGTGGTACGCCATGGTGAGTGCGGGGGGGGGGGGCGGGGAAGAGACCGGAGCACCCCAGGGAGGGCCCCGTTGGCGGGCGCAGGATGTGGAGGGCTCCGGCGACCGGGATGCTCCCTCCGCTCCCCGGCATTCAGGCTGGAGAAGGCGCAAGGAAAGGGGGTTGTGGCTGGAGGCGAGCCAATGTCTTTTTTAAGGGCTCCTGTAGCGGTGCTTCAGGTGAGGTGGGAGCGCACACTTGAAAACCAGGTGTTTTGGTGCTCTTGGAAGTTTTTCGTCACAACGCGAAATCGAGAAGTGCACCACGATTTATGTGCGGCTGTGCCTGCTTTTCGGAAAAAACTTCTCACTGTGCCTTCTTTCCAGAGGCATGCTCTTCCTTGCAGGTGGATGGCGGCGCTGCCGGGAAGAGCCGGCGCTTGCCAGATCCTCCCTGAGTAAACCACATTTCTTTGATGGCTCCAGGCGGTTTGGAATGGACTTGGGTCCCTACTCGTTGCTGTGACGAGCCTGTGATTGCGTTAAAAAGCCTTTAAAAAACCTTTATGGTTTATTAGTTATAGGAGGAAACAGTCTCTGTATGGAGTAGTGGGGAAGAAAAGTTTGTGTTCTGTTAAAGTTTTACAGGATGTATACATTGTGCAAAAGAAAATATCACTTAAATGTATTTCCTAAATACATAATCAGGTAGATGAAACCTCCTAAGTTTATAACTGTACTTTTAAGTTGCTCCATGTAGTTTGGATCAATGTTTAGCACTTTTCAGCTATCATTCATTGTCAAGTCAAATCAGTGATACTGTGGTAGAGGTGACACAAAGTCACAAGGAGGAAAGTTTGGAAATTGCTGCATTGAGCAATGAAATGGGTGTTAAAGGCCTTGATAGTTCTGGATCACTGTATCCAGGGTAAGAAAAGATACTAAGATATGACTACCTGTAGTCAGAAGGAAACTTCTCCTACGTTTGCTCCTTGGAAACCCACCATTATGGTTTTTGGCACCGGAAGAGCACCTGTGGGAACACATGGGACTGGAGTTCTCTCTTGTCTCCAGACACAAAGGAGATTCCCATGTTCCTCTAGCAAGGTTTTTACTGACTGGTATATTTAAAGCAGAATGGGTTGTAAGAAGAATCCAAGTTTCACCTTTCCATTTCTTACATGGCTTGATTGTAGCTTCCCTGGCAGCTCTTTATATCTGTCAGTTTTCTGACCAGCATCAAAGATCTTTATCCTCTTCCCCATTTCAGATGAAAAAGCAAGTCAGATTCCCATCTCCTTTAATATCTGCAGTGCAGAATTGGTTGACTTCAGCTGAGAGTCTTGCAGGGAGGCTTCACTTCTCACTTAGTTACTGTGCATCCTCTGAGATGCTGCGCAATGGCATTGAACTGAAGGTTCGTTAATGCTGACGGGGCTCCTGAGGTGTAGGATGAATTTCTTGAAGGAAAGCCTTTAGTAAGAGGTTGGATTTTTTTTGCACACAGAGGTGTCTAGTCAGTTGTTAGTAATCTGCTCTGTGCTTTTCACCCAGGCCAGTTACTTTCTAGTTTATAAACGCTCTTTGAGTCAGAAGTTAAAAGCGTGTCTCAAAATAATAGGTGGTGACATTTTCTGTGCACTTTAGAACAGGATGAAGGTCTCAGGATAAACTTTCTTCTTCATTATACATCTATATTTTAGTGAGCAAGTGATTATAGGTGGGTTTGTGGGTTTGGTTTTTTTTAGTTAGGAATGCTGGAAAATATTTTGGGCCAACTTAAAAGATACAAGGAATTGTTTTTAGCTCTTGAGTAAAACTAGACATGTAACTTTAGCTGTACACCCGCTGCCCGTGTGAGAGAGCTGGAGATGCTCTGACCCACTGGCTTGGTTATGGATGTGTATCTTTGGCATTGTAAGGACAGTTGAACAAGAAAAGGAAAGAGTGCCAAAAGAAGAAGACAGCTCGTGTCATCAGCTTGTGAATACGAAGAAGCTTTGCATGCACACTGTCCGAGGAAACCTGAGCTTAGCCTCTTGCCATGCAGATTGATTTACTGTCTTTATTTTATTTATATATTTATTTTTTTACTGAAGGATTCAAAGCTTGAAAATAACAGATAAGGAAGGAGCTGTTGAAGGGCATTTTTGAAACAAGGTCCCTCCTCATATCTTACACATCAACTGTTCAGGGAACCAGCATGGTCTCCTCAGAAGCTGTAATAGGAAGCTGTGCTTTCCAAGGTTTCCTCCTCAGGATGGCAGACTTTCCTGCAAGGCAGTACTTTCACAAACTGTTTTGTTATCTGAGGCCAGAGGGTATTAGGGGTTGGTGTGTACACAGCGCATGACTCCAACTTACTGGGTAAAATAATTACTTTGGTCAGACTGTATATGCTTTGTTCTCTCCGTTCAAATAAGCAGTATTGGGCCTCTAAGTCAAAGTCTCTTTATTATAGGTATAGTCTGACACAGCATTCTGGAGGGAAGATGGATGCTTTTAATCTCTCTCTGACTTGAGTTTAGGGGTAGCAAAGTAGTGGTCCTTGTCCTGGTCCGTTCCATGTCCTCCCTGGAGATTGAAGCTGCCCTGGGGTCCCTCAAGGACAGAGAGTTGGCGTTCTGCTAGCCCCCTTCCATATTTTCCTCTTCATAGTCCTGGGACTGGGTGCCGTTTTGGATGCCATGCTCCTGTCTGCTGTGGGTTTCTTTGGTATGAAGATGAGGAGATGGACTTAGGGAAGAAGAGTAAGACCAGATTTACCCCTGGTGAAGGTCTGGCACACTCAGTAGGAATTAAGTGTTTAGTTCCTACATTCTCTGACTTGGTTTACTAAAATAAAAAAAACTAAAAAACTTGCACTTTGCTTGGTGTTGATGCTTTTAAAACCATGTCTGAATTTGAAGAAGAAAGTGAATGAAAGCAAGGAAATACATGTGGCGTGCGGAAAGACATGCTTGTTTCAATAGCTGAATTAGCTGGATTCAGAGTAGCATTTGGCTTCTAGAGAGTTGTGATGCTGAGGATATCCATACAAGAGGAGAGCCCCATCAACAGAGTTTTGCTGGCCAGGAGCTGCAGCTCCTGAGCCTTAAAGCAGTGCTGTCTCTGGAATTACTGTTCTGTCAGCAACAGCACTCACTGGTGTTGCTTTTACTGGTATGTATGTGATATGCTTTTACTGTAGCAGTAAAAAGCACAGATAAATGGGTTAATTGTGTCTATACTGAAAGTACTGTTACAGGGCAGTGAATTAATTCATCTCTTACGTGAAAAGACCACCTACGAGGCTTGTTTTTCCTCTGGAGAGGCACAATTCAAATATGAGAACAGCATTCTCAATTTTAAAACTTGTCAAGTACCTTAATAATGCCCAAACTCATTTTAAAAATTGGAATTATTAGAGGTTGTTCAAAACAATTATTGAAATTTTTGTTGTGTTCCAGTATAATGGAAATAATTAGAGATATGCTACGCTTATATTTCTAGTTTTATTTTTTCATTCAGCTATAGTATTTTCCCAGCCTGTCTGCAGATGTGCCAGAACAGATTTCTGTTGAACATAGTGCAGTGATACATGGATCATTACTTTCTCCCTAAAGCCATGTAAAGAAAAATCTGTAGGAACTCATTACTTAGTGGATTAGCAAACTTTACCCCCTGCTGCTCAGTCCTCAAAACAGAAGGCAATAAATGAGTCTTGAATCATCTCCTGTCTTTACTTAACAAAACAGACCTGACAGGAATCCTTGCTCCCAGATGTCTCACTGGCTGTGGGAAGTTACAGTATCTGAGACACTAAATAGCTACATTATGTTGCCTTTTATATTAATTTCTTGCTTTTTACTTTTATTCTATTATTTTTGAAAAAGGTTTTTTTGAGGGACCATATTCACCACTTTTCAGAAATGCAGAGAGTTGCAACTTGTGATGAACAAACTGTGTCTGTACATTGTTGCATGTGGGAAGCAAATGGGGTTGCACATCAGGTTAGGTGAAAGGAAGAGGTTTAGAGTCTTGGAGTAGATGAAAGATTGAGGAGGTTTGGGAATCCTGGAAGAACTCTTATTTCCTAATGTGTACCCCTGCCTGAACTGTTATAGCATTTATTTTTTTCTTTATCAGCACCAGAATTATGGAAATCATGGTAACAGCTTTCTTTCAGGTAAGGAAGGCTGGGCATAATGAGCATTTTAGTGTGTCTGAGGGAAGTTCAAGTACTGGAGAGGATTGCACACATCCCGTTGGTCTCCCTGGGAGCTGTTCCAGTTTCTGCTGAAGCCTGTAGGACTGACAGCATTTCCAAAGCTGTTGGAGACTACTGTGCTGGTGAGGAATGAGTGATAAGCTGAATATTTTCCAGAGCTTTTCACAAGAGCAATCATGTTACACATACTGTTGTGGAAGTCCTGAGCTTCTGGCTGATTCCACATGAAGTTACCCAACAGGTCATTTAGAAATACAGTCCATTAGTGAGAAGAAAACCTTCATGCTTCTTTCTGTCATATTGTCGTATATGAAAGGAATCATACTTGCAATAAGATGTTTGGCAACTTTGCTATATAGAAGGTATAATTTAAGGCCTTAATAACTACACATCTATTTTCTCTATTTACAGCATGGTGACAAGAAGGCAAGTGGAGATTCTTCCAAGCCAGGAGAGAAAAAAGCAGAAGTGACAGAGGTAAATTCAAATGTTTGAACATATTATGAAGAAAAGTCAGTAACAAATTTCTTCCTGTACAGATTTTTGCCTTTTGATAGCAAAGTGGGAGTTTTCAGGAAATTAACTGGTGACTCCAGCCACTCACTGTTCACTCCAGGAATGTATAGTTTTGTCATGTGCTGCTGAGAGGCCTACTGGGAATATTTCTTTGCTGTGTTCATATTTTCCCAAATATTTCATGTTAGTATCCATGGAAGCTATCTCAGTAGAGTATCTGCTGTGCAGTGCCAGGACACTGTGGGACGCACCTGGTTTTTCAGTTTCCCAGAGGTACAGATGAAGTGAGGGCACTGTGATGCTTTCAACCTTGTTTGCACTCTGGCTTTTCTTCCACAGGCAGAAATTCAAATTCATGCATAGATGTTGCACATGTGGGTCATCTCCTGACAGACTTGCAAATATATGGTCTGTGCTGTATTTTAGAAAAGATACTTATTTTTCAAGATACTGCCTCCTAAGGAGCTGGTATTTATGTTGAGTTTACACAAGCAACTTTACAGTTGGAGCACAGCATCTCTTGTGCACCATCAGAAGGCAACAAGGGTTGCAGGCAGTGTTTGAAGAGTTATTTGGAATGGTCATCTCTCTCCCAGAAGCTCCCTGTTAGCCATTGGGTGGTAGATCCTTGTGTGCTACAGTGAGTCAGGCTGATAATGCAGAGAGAAGGTGTTGTCCAAGCCAGGTCACGAGTTCCTGCAGTGATCATTTCCCCAGGAGCCTTTACTATTCCAAGGAAGGCTAACAGCAGATTAAAAAAGAGAAGAGTTTGTGGAAATGACTGTTACAAGTTTGTCTATTTGTCTTTAAATGTTAGTCATTGGTCCAGGGAAGCCAGAAATAGATGTGCCTGATACTTTATCCTTAGGAGAACCTATGTGGGAAATAGCTTTGTCTAAGCTTGTTTAACTGCATTGCAAATAAAAGCTAGTGAATGCTTTTATTGCAACCCTCTGAAGTAGATGATTTAAGCAATTGCCTTTCTTTCCTGTCCAGAAAAGCAAGGAAGGCTGCTCTAGCCTGGGAACATGTTCCTCCTTTCCTTTCTATAGATATTTTAGTTTTTTCTTAAATACCGTTATTCATTTATACATTCTTGGTTTAATGCCAGATTCTTGGACTCCACATTTTTACTCTTAATAGAGAAGTGCTGACTTTTTTGTGGGAAGGGCAGGAGTTGAGGCCTGTAGGTTGGAGTTGTGGAGTTGCTCTTTCTGACCTCTCACTAAAAAGATCTGTTTCCAGCAGCATAAGACTCTTACTAAATTTATTGTCTGGATACTTCTGCTTTTTGAGTCCTTAGAATACTGTGTGTGTTTCCTCTTGTGAATTTCTTTGTATATTTCACTCCTTCCATTGACTTTGCAGTGCTTAAAAGTGAAAGCAGATCAAAACCCATTGAACAGCATCAGCTCCACTGTGGTTCACACCTGCCTCCAAAACACTCTGATTTGTTAAGCAGTTGAGGTAGCAACTCACAATAGTTGTACACAGCTCCCAAGAGTCTGCAATGTTACATTTTTGTTTAAAAGTCAGAAGTTTTTTCCCTAGACTTTGATTTTTTGAAACAGAAGTTTATAATCCATCTGCAGGCAGCTTTGGGCAATCTTGTCTATAATGTCAAGGTTTTCACCTGCCTACTAGAAAAGGTTTGCTAATACATTATGAAATTGACAAGGAAATAGGAAAGTCTTTTAAGAGTTTATATCCATATTGAAAGGAAAATAGTAAAATCCTATATGGTTATTGTTTAACTAAAAATAACGATAAAAAACTCTGTTTCTCAGATTTTTGGGTAAATAGTCCTGAAGGAGTGGGAGAAGAAGAGTAAAGCTTTAAAAAGTTGAGGTAGGAAGAGTCTGACGCTAGGAGATGCTAATCAGCCACGACATCAAGGAGAGCGCAAAATGAATAATGTTAGAGTGTAGAACAGGCTTCTTAAGCTTTTCTTCCTCAGAAACTTAAAAGTAGGTTAAAAAAACCAGCAGGCTTACTGTAGATAGAAACCTGCTTGGTAAGATACACCCTTGTGCAGAGCTGCTGAGGAGATTAAATAGTTCCATAGGCTTTTTCCAGTTTTAGCCTCACAATCCAGTAATATAAAATAATACTTTAAAAGATTTAGGAGTTAGCAGTGTGAAGATGATTTATTTAATAACTCTATAAAGTTTTGGACTTACATACACTCATTGCAGGGAGTACATGCAATTTATCTATTATATGCCAACAGACACTGGTTCATAGGATTATTTCTTCAGGAAGTATTTACTTTTTAGGTTCCCAGTGATTTTCTGCTTAACTATCAGGCAGTACTTTCATCCTTGGATCTTGAAGCATTGTATAAAGGAGAATAGACATGTTATCTGAGTGACACAGATGAAATGTGGGGAAGGGGAGGTGCTGAAGCACAGAGCTGGAGTTGCCTTACTTAAGGTCATCCTGCTGCTCATCATGAGAGAGAAGAACCAGGTCATCAAAGTAGCAGGCTGGTCCGCACACATAAAAGCTCAGTGGGAAAGCCATGAACTCACTGAAGGCAGTGAGCCTTCCTCTCTGAATCCTGGAATTGGCTACCCTTCCTGCGTGTATGAGTAGCACAGCTGCAGCCTGTGTCCGTCACTTCAAAACTTTTCTACAATCCCTTGTGTTCCACTACCCTGGCCTGGCTGATGCTGAAGTCACACAGCTGAACCTTGCAGACTGGCTGGAAGAGACAGAGAGCAGGTGTGTTCAGCAGCTGTTTCCGGCAGATTCCATTCTGCTTGGTGTCTTTATAGCTTGTAAACGATGCACACAGTCCCTCTCTAACTCTTCCTAAGGGTCCACTCTCGCCTCTTCTGCTTTGTTGCCAGAAACAGCAGCTTATTGCAGTACTAAGGTTCCAACTCTTCTAAAGTACTAAATTTATAGTCTGTCCAGTTTCTCAAAATAAAAATTAAGGTGTGGCCTTAAGGCTGTAATATCCATTTTACCTTAACACTGATCCTTCACAACAGCCTGTGGTAGTTACTTGGAAGACCTCTGGTTGTGCTAACACTCAGTGTTATTGCATCTAGCAAAGGAGAGAAATATTGTGGACAGGTTTTGGAAGGAATAGAACTGTGATACCATTGCTCTTGGAATGATTGATCTCATCCACTTCATTACCTAAATATGTTAGCAAAGGAAAGGTACTGCTGTACTTGTTCATATCATTTCAGCAGTGCTGCTCAAGCCTTCAGCCTAAACAGAGGGGGGGGGGGTCTACTTGAATGGGAAGGGTCAGCTTTAGGTTGAGGTACACATTGTCAGTCTAATGGTGAGCAACTGAGTGTGTATCTGTGCATGGTGCCTTGTAGAAATAGGCAAAAGATGCGCCAGAGGGACAGAGGTGGAAACTACAGGTGCGTTAGAAAATATAATTGAAAAAAGGTAGAGGCAGTTCTTCATCAGTGTAGTTGACAGAATGTTTTATGTTGTACTGGGCACTACTCGAGGACAAAGGCTCAAGTCACAGGGATATCTTTATGTCTTGGTTGTTGAATTCACGTCCTGAGTAGAATCAGACACTCATTGAAAATCTACATCAGCTTTAATGAAATGTTTTCATTCCTTATGGATGTGTGTATGGTAGATGTTAACAGAAACAAAATTATCATTGTGGGAATTGGTGGTTGCTCAGGCACTTGAAGCTGTTGCATGTTTTTGCAGCTGGGATGCAGCTGCCATCCAGTAGAAGTGAGTGATGTGCTGCACTTTTCCCCATATCTGTCCCCCTGTTTTCTCACTTTATTGTGACATAGTGGACCTGAGTCAATGAGACTACAGCATACCATTGCAAGGTGTATGAAACAGTGAATTTCCTTTCTTCTCCTTTACTTCTGATTTTCTAGGGCTTTCAGCAATTTGTTAACATGTGAGGGACAGCTGGTATGGTTTTTCCTTACCCCACAGTCTTCACCTTACATATGCCCTTCTGTCAATTTCAAATCACTGCCCATGAGGGCACTGGTGCTCTAGAAGCTTTTGGATACTAAAAGATAAATTCTTTCAGGGGGAGATGGGACAAAATCACTGAAGAGAAACCCAGGATGGTTTATAAAATATAATGAAATTAAGAAGTTCCTGGCCCACACATTATCTGAGTCTGCAAGAGTATTAGGAAGAAATATCGACATGGACCTGACCTATTTCTACATCACTGGTTTTAGTTTTTTTTATATCAGCTGCTATAGACTACTGCTAGAGACAGGGAAATATTAGAAGTGAAGCTAATCCAAACCCAGTAGGGCAGGTCTTGCATTGTAATGGGTTGCATGGTCCTGCTGTCCTGTTCTTGCACACCATGTTCAGTGTTGCCCTGTCAGAGGGCTGCCCTTGGGGCACAGTGTGCTCTGCTGCCCAACCACGTTGTATTCCTAAGATCAAGGCAAAATTAGTGTTCCTGTTGTGTGTGACTGTGCTCTGAAACCCCTCTGCTCTGTTTTGAGTGGTTGCAGCCTCGAGTTAATAACTGCACATGATCTGGAAAGACCTATTCTTTTTTTGCTGTCGTAGAGGGAAATACCAGGGAGAGGTTCTGTATCCCTGTAAAAGCCCAGCCTGTGCATTGCTGCTGTCAGGATGTGAAAATGTGGTATTAAAAGATAGACAGAGCCATATATTTGAAGCCCCAGCTTAGAGTGAGGTCACGTTTTATGTGAAACTGGACTCTCTCTAATGTGTCCTGACATTCCAAGCCATGCTTTACAGCAGTGTAGACAAAATCCATGCTGCTTGCTCAGCTCATTATACTTTACTTTGCAGGAAATACATTCTTTACTTTGAGAGGATGACAGTGATAATTGGCACTGAAGCATTCCCGTCCTTTTAGAATTGTTTCTTTGCTCTGAAGCCAGGATTTCTGTGATGCTTTTTAATCCTGATGCTTGTCATTCAGGATTCCTTATCCAGAAAAGCATTAGAGTCACTCAGAGTCCCAG